CCCCGAGCATGCCACCGACGGCGCCGCCTCCGCCACGCAGGGGGAAGAACCAGTGTGCGAAGTCGATCGCGCCACGCTCGCGAGCCCAGCTGAACATGGTATCAGCAATAACCTTCATGTCATCCTGAGGGCGATTTCAAAAACCGACTTGGCATCCGAACCTCTAGTAGCTTCAAGTCGGTGATTAAGTGGCTCCACGGCACTGAAGCCACCGCCAATTGGATAGGTTTAGCATCATATCCGTAAGGATGGGGGATGCAGTGCTTTCGGTTCATGTCTGCGGGGTCCTCCGGAGTCGGTGCTCCGCTCACCAGGCACTCGTTGAAGCGCTGCACGACGGCCGCCGGGAGCTTAGCCGCCATGACGGCGTCATCGAACATGCATGTGCCCATCGTCGTGAGCGCATCGGATGCCATGGCTCAGAGTGCGGAAGACGAAAAGCCAGGGCAGAAGATAGGGAAAACTAGGGAGCCAACGCTTCCAGCCATGCATGTCAAGGGGCATTTAGGAGTGCTAGGCAACACCTTCGGGTGGTGACGCTGGCATAACGCAGCACTGAAGTCGAAGTGGCTGACTCAGAAAAGAAAGGACGGAAATAGTGACCTGCAGACTTGCCATGGGCTGCCAGGGCTCTTCTGATTCTGCGGCCATGAACGGAAGCAGCTGCTAAGTCCATTTGAGCACACCGTCCATCGCGCATGGACGGGGTTTGGTGCTACTTTGTTTGATGGCTGAAGTGCATCGCATCCACTTTGTAGAGGAAGTGCTGTCCGGGAGTTGGAATTGAGACACTCACTGCCGTGGCCCTGGCACAAACACATGTCAAGCCACATCAAGACGGACGAGGCGCATGCAGCCGGCCGGAGTTTGAGCCCGATCTTGACAGATCGCTAAATGCGGCAATTGCTAGTCTTGTCTGATCCCAAGAAGCACACCTTTCCGATCTTGGCCACCTGCTGTGAAAGCGTGCCCACACGCCGGACCCGGTATCGGGGCATCACCTCAAGCAGCCCTAGACACAAGACGGTAGTTGCGTTTGATTGCATCAAAACCTCTCCGATAGCGCCCTGAAACTGTCGCAGCACCCTTGACACCTTCACATCTGAAAGGTGCTCTGGGACATCCGTTGCGGACCTTCACGAAGCTAGGTGGCCAGCCGGCCGCACTCATGATACGAAATACACAAGAATGGGCTGCTCGGGTATTTTCAGACGAAGCCAGCATCGGCTGTGCATCACTGACAAGTTCCCCGCGGTGATTTGCCCACCCTGATTGGATCCATAGGTGGTCAGATCCAGTACCTGACGGATGCAGCACGAGGTGTTAAGGAGTCAAGGGGTGCAGTGGACCAGGGGGGCTGCAGGCCTAAAATCACTCGTGAGCGTCATCGGGGGCGCCTGAAGCACGGTACCCACGTCTTCCAGAAGAGATGCCTCAGAGCACAAGCATCCCTTTATAGATTGGCTTCAATGGCTAATTAAGCTCCTGCAAGCCTACATGGTGAAACTCCGTAGCATGTCCCGATGTTTGGTCCTTCCTCGCGGAGATCCTTCTATGATTGACGGAGGGTCCTTCTCGAAGTTCCCTCCGGAAAAGCGAGGAGCCTCAGATGATCGCGTGAAATCGCAGGCGACCCGGAAACACGTCTAGGAAGGGCGGGCGACCCTAGCAGCAGCCCGCGGAAAAGCACTTGCTCCGGCTGCTTGTCCAGCTTTCCGGAACAAAGTTTCTGTACATCGGATTGTTCAACCAAGCAGAGTTGCCTGGCCCTGACTACAGGCACAAGGAAAAGCGGAAGCGTGTGGCTGTATAGGTCACGTTCCGCAGAGTGCAGCCATGTGTTGAGCAGAAGCCTCGTGCTAGCGTCCGTTGGGACGTCGCAGATCGGCAACGGTCTCTTTCTGGACCAAGTGGCCAATCTGCACAGACCTGCTCACAACCAACCGGCGGCCACAGCCAATTTCTTCTGCCTCCACTGCAAGAACAACAAGCACATCTGGGCTCTGAGAAAACGAATGCTGCACTTGGAAAGCATCATCAAACACACGGCAGCTTCAACTCCTCAATGTCCCGAGCCTCAGCTCCTCGTCCAGGCGCAGCAGTGCCTGCCCGGCGGCATCCTGACAATGTGTTTATGGACGAGGATCTGGAGGTTGTGATAACAGGTCTTACAGTATTACGAGGTTCATGATACAGGGTCTAAGCGCCCATTACCCGGTTGCAGATGTTGGCTGGCTTAGCGCGTAAGTTGTGAAAATACATACGTAGAATACAGCGGACACACTCTTTGGACTGTGTGGCTTGTGAATTCTGATGAGGAATCCAGCACCGAAAACACAAACCAGACTGTGGTAAAGGAAGGACCGTTTCAGGGCCTGATCGTTGCTCACTCCAGCGGACTTCCCGAAGAGAGAAGTCTCGAGGTCTCGAAGTTGCTGCCAGAAGCCCGGGTTGGGACGGATGAAGTCCTGACAAAAAGGAACACTTCAACATGCTTGACTAATGAATCTTCGATAGCTGAGCCGCCCTGGCAGTGAAGACACGGCGGAAGGCGGCTTCCAGGGACAAACCCTCCCGAATCATCAGGTACGCGAGGCACGTGCTCGCTGACCGGCTTACCTTGTCAAGCTCATGGTAACCCCTGCTCAACCTGAGTCCTACAACATCTGTCCATAGAAAAAATACAGCAGGCAAGTCACGCCCTGGGCACAGTGCACCGCCACACAACCACCTTCACGGAGCACCTTGTCCAGGAACTCCACCGAACGAACCCAAAGGTCACGCATGGGCTGCTCCTTCCCGCAACGGATAATCGAAACGAGCAGTGCCACCGTATTGCACTGAACAGCAACAAGTCCCCACAGCCACCCAGAACCAAAAAGCCTCTATGTGCTGCACACCGCGTAGCCTGAATGTGTTGTACTATTTGTACCTCTCATATGACATAAGTCCTTGGTGATGTTGCTGCTGTGTCTGCTGCTGAAGTTGTTGCGGTTAAGAGTTGGGAACATCGTTGCGATTCTTGTCGTGGTATTGGTGGATAATACCATCTCTGGTGGTTGGGGCAGTAGTCCAACTGTTGTCCTGACTGTGTACATTGATCGTCTCCGTCCTTTCGCTCAGCCGGCAAGAAGACTCGTCTGATCTGTACGCGTGCTTCTTTCTTTCTCATCCAGACATTTAACTCGTGGTTGTTCATTTTAGGATGTCTAGCACGGTCTGGCCGGTGTCTAGTCTTCATTTCTCTTTGCAAGACTGTTCAAAGACACCCATACCTTTCTTCCCTTGCATTTGCTCTCTGACATTGCTGACGATAGTGGCGGACATGCTGCTTACAATGATGCTCACGTTAACGATGATGACGAAAGTGGCAACGAGGCTCTAGCTGCTACCACACCTTCTGTTTCAAAATATAATGCTGGCTACCTGACTGAACTCGTATTCCAGAACCAGGAGAAGCAGTGATCCAAGCACTGCGGCGGTTCTGGTGCTGTCTTACTAGTATACCATATTTGTCTCAGTTGATTTCATGACTCCGATTACGTTGATCGCACAACAATTGCTTATGACCCTACAGTCGACAGCATGCAGACACCGCTATCCTATCACAAGTGTTACTGCAGGCTTCACTCTCGCACGCTATGTGACAATGCTGCACCACGAGGACAGGAACCAAACACAGTCCCAAAACTGCCAAGATGGCAGTTTTGCAAAATTCAGCATTCGGATTCATCGAAACTTCTTTTCTGAGCGTGGGTTTGAAGAATAATCTCAACACCCCGTCTTCCCGGACCTCAATGTCTTCCGCCTCTAGCACGTCAATCTCGTAGCCATCAAGCCGCATGCGCAAGGGAACTCCATCAGAGTAGGATCCTTGGCTGGGATTTAGGTCTCGCAGTACATCGCCAATGTATCTTGAAAATCAGTCTTGGATCAACTCTTCCTCCAGGTTTCGCTGACGCACTGACTCTTCACTCTTGGATCTCTTGGACTCTCTACCAGGTGGAAGCGTGTGTAGTGATTGCCTTCTGTACTGCGAGTCTTCCTCCATGGCCATCGTAGCTACACGAAGCTATCTCATCCTGACATTGCTCGACCCATCGTCGTGGCTAAAAAAGAATAGCAAGAATCATGAAGAATAACAACGATGATAATAACAACAACAATGGTAACAACTAGTTACCATTAAATAAGAATAATCGAAATCGTAATAATAATAATCATCATCATCACCATGATATTATACCCATAACATTAAAAACTTTGGCCGCGGGTCGATTGTACAGTTCATCCTTCGCACAGTTTAGGATCCCCCGGATTCCCAAGCGCTCGAGCTCGGCCTGCCCAGGCAGGGCAAAACAAGAACTAAGAGGGCCTGCTCTTGTGATATAGGGAGTAATCTAGGGGCCTTAATGATTAGAATAGGGTTTGCAGGCTATAATTATATTAAGGAACCCCCAAAACAGCATAGGTAATTATTTAGGCCCCTATATTCAGCTTAGGGATCAGAGTTTAGGGTTCGGGGCGTCGGCTTTGAGGTCTGGGCTTGGGATGCAGGGAGAGTAGGTTTAGGGATGAGAGCTTCTGGTTTGGCGATTAGGGCTAGGGATGACTTTTTAGGTTTAGGCTTTAGGGACAGGGAGAAGCTTGAGAGAGTCGGTTGAGGGCTTGGGGCTTAGAGACTAGACTTGGCATAGCGGCATAGCGCTTATAGTGAGACTGGCTTCACGATCTAAGGTTCAGGCCCAAGGCTCGCAAGGGAAAACTGATGACAGCTGAAATACTGTGATTACGATGATTGAAGGACTCACGATGGCTTCCGAGGAGGATGTTCAGAGAACGATGATTGGAAAAAGGAACGGACAGGTGGAAACTGGTCTTTGGTTTCCAAGCCTTGTTCTCCAGGGCAGCTGCCCCACAAAGGAACAGCCCGCTGCCGATGTCATCAATGCGTCTCCATGGCGTAGATGATTCTCCTAGGGCTGAACGTCTTCAGAGCCACTCTTGTCGGGTCTGGGGTCTTGGCGATCCCAGCTCTTGCGGTACACCACTGATGCATCGGTACTTTGACAGCTCTCGGTCCTTCGGGCCTGGGCGGAGGTGGTTGTGGTGCCTCCTGACAAGCCGCGCACTACCACCAAGCATCGATCAGGCAAGAAGACTCTTCATTGCTGTTGGGGTATGCTTCGCACGGACGGTTCAGCAGCACGTACGGGCGAGCGCATTCACATGAACCTGCAAACCGCTTTGCAACAACCCTACCTTCACGCACCCACTCCCTATGAAATCCTCCTGACTACGAGGAAAGGATCCCTGAAGTTCTGGTGAAGCCCTGGTTCCCCAGCCCGGGCTCCTGCTTCTTGGCAGCGGCGGCCGCCTCCCAGAGAGCTTCAGTGTGGGGAGCTACTTATTCTCAGAAGTCGCCATAGACTCAGGGTAAGCAGCCATCAACTGCTTGTAGATAGCATAAAGTTTCCATGAACTTTCTTCACAGGCATGGGAGATGTCCGGGATGCTGCACGACTTTGGTGTCATCTGTCACAAGTCTTGAGGCTTGCCCATGCTAAGTTTACTGATTGCCATGTCCATCCATGTACAGAAAAAGGCCTTTTGGAACCCCTGGTCAAGCACCGAATGGGTATGCAATCCAGAGTGCACTGTGCTGGGAGACTGAACCATCCAGGACCGCACTGACGAGACCTGCTTTCCGACCACTTTGAAGCCCAGACTCAAGCCTCAACTGCATTGAAGCCCCAGTTGAGCCTCGCGGAGGAATGCCAGCGACATGGAACTTGGGCTGGGCCGCTTCTACACTCGAACGATGTGAACTTCGTTCTGGGCGCTGGGAGCCAAGATCGCAAAGCTGTCAATGACAAGCGCTGGCACAGAGCTGATCTCCAAAAGGCCCATTTCCGATATCAAAGGCCGACTGATGGAGCGGGCGCTTGTGAAACAACCTCTTTTTGTTTACCTCTCCTGAGTTGGCTGTCGCGTTGCAGATCAGCTTACATGGGCACTTCGAGCAGCAGAGCGAGGCAGGAACACGCAAGACCAAGCCACCAGCGCTAGCTATACGACCGGCATCCCGCCGCAGGACCTTCAGAGACTTGGAGTGTGAAGGCGAACACAATGCAGACTTCTATCTCATCAATGTTTACTTCTCTGTCTATCGATTTATTTGTTTATCTGGCTAGCCAGCCAGCTATCTAGCTACTGTTAGCTAGCCAGCTAATGTGTCTATCTATCTACCTACCTACGGCGTTTCAATTTTTCGGGTGCTGCGGCAACCGGCAACAGACACTGCCAGCTTGTCTGGAATGACGGTGGCAGCTTGTACATGCACAAATCAGAACCCTAAACGGCACTTATACAAGTGGACTCTGGAACTGAGGCTCGAACTGAGGCATTGTCGCCTCCGGTGGTCGTGGAAGTCTCCATTCCCTCAAGTTGGGCAAGCACATCGAATCAGCAAAGCAAAACAGGAATCAAAAAGCCATAACCCCCACAGTTGGCCCAAAAGCCGAAAGCGATCGTGATGGGAGGGGTAAAGTAAAGCAACGCCCAACAGTTCCAAGCAATGCCTATGCCGGCGTTGGGCTGTACTCGGCCCGCCACTGCATGCTCTTTGGCCAGGAATCCAGTAATGTACTCGCCCTGGCCAAACAAGACGCGAAAGGGGCAGGGACTTCAACGCCGAGTTCCTGTGCATTCACTCCCGAATCACACCCTGCATGATTCTGACCGCCAGAAAACAGCCCCGAGACCTCCAAGCAAATTCTCGCAAGTCACGAGAACCTTCCTGAAATAGAGAATCTCTGATTCCACGGAGCTACACCTGCATAGCCTTTAAAGAACAAATGTCGGAAATGATGGGTATCACCAGGAACGATCTTCATGTCACCTACGGAGTTGGCACGGGTGCTTCTGGCCTGGCCCTTGCTCCGCACGTTCTTGAGGATTTCTATCACCTCCGGCTCTCGCACCTGAGTCTCGGGTTTTGGGTTCAGGGTTTGCGGGCTTGCTTCAGGGTCTCAGCAGACTCAGCACTCACACCTCTGGTGCCGACTACCATGGAGATTGCAAAAGAACAGGGGGGGAAAACAAAGACAAAGGTTGCGTCGTTCAGGTCATGGTTGTGGGCTTCAGGTTTAGGGCTGTCGGGCGTGGGACGTGAAAACTTGGTCCATGCGCCCTTCTGACTGCGCCCATGGGCGCAACAGCAAGGCCACTGAGTGTGGAACAAATCTGCTTAGGCAAATTCTTGAAAGTCTCGGGGCTTTAACTTGAATGGAAAAAATTGCACGATGAACCTGGCAAGGCAGAGTGCCAACCTCAAAAGAAGGAAGCCCCTCCTTTACCGAAGCCCTTCCCTCACCCTCATCCCAGCCTGCAAGACCTGCTTGAAATTGGGGAAGGCCGGCTTCCTTTCAGTCGGGCAACTCTTTGGGTGTTTGTGTAGGACTTGTACATGAGGGTTCCAATTCAAAGGGTGAAATGTTTGGGAGAGCTTGGCCCGAATGATCTTATGGAGTGTTTAAGGGTCCAGCGTCCGAAGGCTGCAAGAAGGCATCAGCCGGCTGTGTGTGGCTTTAAGGTCTGACGATACAGCCTGCGTGAATTTCAATTGTGGCGCCAGGAAGCCTAGAGAAGTGAACCACAGTGGGGGGGCAAGTGGCAAGATGCCGCCACGCATTGGAATCCATTTTTCAGAAGGCGGAGGGTGGATACCAATGATCTTGCGCACGGGCGAGCTCTACACGTGGCTTGCGTGGGCAAGTCAAACCCACCCCGAGGTAGCACCACCTCGTGTTGTTCCATACACATTACACTGGACTTTAGTTACTTTAGTTGATTTAGCTCCAACAATGTTGATAAGATCATTACACAAATTATCAACATTGCTGGAGTTAAGTCAACTACAAAAGTCCAGAGGATGTAGCTTACATGCGGATCCATCTGTGAATGGCCTTTGCAGCCAGATGCCTATGTGCACATACATATGCACAGAGCAACACGCCACATACTGTAATGATGCGCTTGGTAACTCCACTACGAGTCTTGCTGCGGGCCTTAAGTAGCCGCCACAAGTCCCAAGCATCAGGCGTCAACAAGAATGGTTTCTCTTGGAAGCTCGAATGCCACGATGCCGTGCTCTAAACACGAAATGGTTGTAACGATAAGTTTTCGCTATTCGCAATGGCAACACTGCTGTCGCAACAACAGGGGATGATCGCACAAGCAGCAAGACGAACGAGGACAACAGCAAGAGATTGCCCAATGAACGAAGAAACGATAATGACCCTACAAGGGCCCCTCGCCCTACATCCATGATAGCATCATGTGCCTGAAGAGGGGCAGCACCAGCAACGCCTCCCGCGACAAACATCTTGGCAAACATGTCCGATTCTCGGTCCTAGGTCCTGACTTTGGCCGTCTGATGACAACATAAGCCCGCTGTTTCTGACCTTGGGCACACCCTGTCCGGGGCCACCGCTGCCAGCCTCATCGAGGTAAGTCACAGGACTTCGCAACCATGAAGTCATGACACTTCGGCACTCACAAGGCCACGCAGCAACGGGTACTCCACACATGCCTAGGCAATGCTACCGCCACTAGCAACTGTTCACAGAAGTTCTTCTGCAAATTACGGCAACACGTCGACAATGAATCCAATCCTGCCTCCTTGGGTGGCGATGTGGCTTCCGCACTTGGCGCCCTCAGTTGCCCAGGAGGATGCTCGAAAATCCAACAGGTACCCGCTCTCTCTCCTGCGACTCACATTTTGGACTTCACACTTCATGAGAAGGCCTCCAACTAGTTCGTCCCCCTTCCACTAAGGGCTTGAATGATCTTATGTGAGCATGCATGCATGCATCCATGCATCCCTCCAAGCAGATCTTTATCTGTGTTTGCATGCTTTCGTGCGACTTGCCTGGTCGAGGTAACGAAAGTACGCATCCGGTTCGTTCATTGTCATGAGTGTATGACAACCTCGTCTATCTGTTGCTTGATGCCGCAAGGTGCTTGGATTGCCTGCCACGTTCATACAAGTGCTGTACCTGACATCCAGAGCCAAGCAACAACACACTATCAAGCCAAGT